CCTTGCATTTCGCTTCCGAGAAAGGCCTGTTATTCGATAAGAACTATTTGAGAATTTTCTCAATCTTTCTAGCTCTGTGATGAATCGCACTCTTTTTTTTTAACATAAAATGATCAATCAAACTCTTAATTGTGATGTTTAAGAAGTTTGAGATGTGATATCTACAAAATCTTAGATGTGATGTCTAATTTTTATCTTTGAACCTAATTAGGCAAATTAAACCTAATTTGTCTTAAATCATTCAAAATAACATCATATTTTTGTATATTAGCATAAGTCTCAATACGTTTTGATAATTTCCAATATAACTTAATGAGAAAAATATATACTTGTTATATTAGCAATCCCTTACTTATATTATCTCCTACCAAATAGAGTACCCCTTTTTTTTATTATAACTAACTTTAAAACAATATCAGACTGCAATTACCTCCTTCATTTTGTCATCAATTTCCCAACATTTCCTAGATAGGTCCAATCTTTTTTTCTCAACTGCAATCAAATAGTTCTAAATAGATAGAATATCTGAAATATATTGTTTTCCACTCAAGTCTAATCAACTGGCTCTAAAATCTTAATACGTTAAATATTTAAAATGATATTTATTTAAACTGCAAAATTATCTAGCAAACTGTAATCTAAAGTACCAAAAAATATTATCTACTTTCAAATATTTTTAACTATCACTTCATTGCACCCATTTCCTAACCCTTATTATTTCCAGTATACCATCAGTGAAAAAAAACCCTACTGCTTACAGATCGATAGGCTCGTATAAAAATAATATGAAAGCTATTGCTAAATGAGTAATTTAACTTCAATTCTAAGCCAAAGTCAAAAGGAATATGTATTTGAATGAGCACATACCTGACTTTGTTGATGAGGATTGTTTTCAGCTTGCGAGCGAGGTTCTGGGACTCGATATCACGCTCCAAAATCTTTCGTGCTAAAATCCTCTTCTCAGAATTCTTAATGTGGTGGGTTCTCTCCCGTTTTATCAGCCGTTCAATCCCACTTGACTGCATCTTTCTCTGCATAAAAGCTAGTGCCTGCTCTAGGTTTCCATTCCTCACCTTCACTCGTATTCCCCGCAGCTGCTGCACCTGGTGAAAACCATCCTTACTAACTGGGTTCACTCCTTGACTTGGCTGAGTCAAGAATGTGGAGGCTCGCCTTGCAAATGAGTTCATTTTCTAGCTATCTTTGATATGTGAGTTGAACTGTCGTCCTTAGGGCTTTATCCTGCCAAGAGAACTGCACTGGTTTTACTATGATTCTTTTAACAAAAGAATAGACAACAAACAGGTTCAGGCAAGGGTTTATAAACATTCAACTGCCGCTAGAAAAAAAAAAAAAAAGTCCCTATCCACAAAAATTCACAGACTGAGAATTATTTTTTATCGCCCCGATTTGTACAGGGATTTGGAATTTTGACACTGGAGAGTTAATTCTCGATTTTAACTATTTTAACAACTTGGAAATAATTAAGAACTGAATTGGTCAATCAATTCTAAATGGTAACAAAATTTGCCATCAGATCTAAGGGATGAGTCTATAAATATCAGAGCCTAGATGGGAATAACAATGCCTCCATTGTCTCTTCAATCTCTAGTCTTCCATAGTCTCTCTTCTCTGTTCATGTTTCTCTTCTCTTAATAGCTGTTCAAATTGTAGATACAACTCTAATTGTATCAAATTCTCCCCATCATCAAACCAGTTTTTCTGTTCTGCTTTTATTTTTAATATAATTTCATTCTTTTAACATATAAACAAAATACTGAGGAAAATTACAAAAAGAGATTGCAAAGCCGAGAGATTCATATATCTAAACAAGTTCAAGCATATAATTTTAACATTAAACTTTTTCACGTCAGAGTATCTTCATGCAGATGGGTTACACATGAAATTAACAAGAACACATATCGCATAAGTTTTTTTTTTAAGTGCATTATATACTAGGGTTTCTATGTACAGTGGATCCTAGAAACATTGAGGGAAAAAAAAAGCTAAAGCCATTAGTTACAGATTTATTGTAAAATGTACATATGTAGCAATGTATATACACATGTATTCTTATACTAGGGATAATTTAGTCTTTTCTCAAGTTATTAAGACAGCTGATATTGTTAGGACAACTGTATATTCTCTCTACTAATTTTTTACTTTTTTGTTAGCACCTTTTTAACCATTTTTGTCTTGGCTGAAGGCCTATATAATGGCACATTTGTGCCCATAAAATTAAAAAGGAAAATCAGAGGAATTCTCCTCTTTTCACAGAAACTTCTTCTTTTATTCTCTTCATGGTATCAGAGCACCAATCCTGATCCAGAATCATTCACCATCCAACTCAAGCCAAAATGGCAATGGATGAGCAAAACTCCTCTCTCCCTGACGTTATCTCAGGTTTATAATTCAATGCCCATCACCCAATCTCACGTCGACCAAACACCCTCATTTGTTACTGGACACAGGCTGAATGGGAGTAATTATCTCCAATAGTCATCATCCGTCCTCATGTTCATCCGAGGAAAGGGTAGAGATGAATATCTTACGGGAGAAGACGTTCAACCATCAGCAGATGATCCAAGAGCCCGTTCGTGGAAGGTTGAAAACAATCTTATAATGTCTTGGTTAGTCAACTCAATGACAACAGAGATTGGAGAGAACTTCTAGCTGTATGAAACTGCGCACGACATCTGGGTGGCTGTGCGCGAGTTCTACTCTGGCCGAGGCAATACCTCAGTCCTCTTCGAAATCGAGACTCACTTGCACGACCTGTGACAAGGGGAGCTCACCGCGACTCAATACTACAATGCACTCACTTGAAACTGGCAGCAGCTCAACGTCTTCGAAGAACGTCAGTAAAGCTGTCTCGAGGACTCCAAACTCTTCAAAACTCTCATAGAACGAAAAAGGATCTTCAAATTCTTGATGGGTCTCAACAAAAATTTAGATGAAATTCGGGGTCGCGTTCTGGGTACCAAATTGCTGCCAAGTCTCAGAGAAGTTTTCTCTGAAATCCGTCGAGAAAAGAGTAGGAAGAAAATCATGATGGGAGATCCTTACTCTGGCCCGAACTCAAGGGAGACGAGCTCTACTCTCATCGAGCGTGTTTTTGAAACAGGATGAAGGAAAGAGAGACCCTGGTGTGACTATTATAAAAAATCGGGTCACATAAGGGATAAGTGCTGGAAATTACATAGTAAACCAGCAGATAAGAAGAATTACAAAAATGACACTCAGAGCAATATGGTAATTTCAGAAGAATCATCCCCTGTACCCACACCTACCGAGAGCTCTTCTTTCAGTCCAGCTCAGATGGAAGCTCTCCTACAAATGTTTTCTCATAAGGGTATTCTCGCTAATGCATCCGTTGCTCAGAGAGGTAATTACTCACTCAGTTTATCTGCTTACTCTGTGAAAAAGCAAATATGGATTATTGATTCAGGGGCATCTGATCATATGACCGGAGATATCACACTTCTTCATTAGTATAGTAAATGTAAGGAAATTTCCTCCATCAAGATTGTCGATGGAACTAGTTTTGAAGTAGCAGGGGTTGCTTCAACCGTTATATCACCAAATTTGATATTGCAGTCCGTTCTTTATGTGTCTGATCTAGACTGCAATCTGCTATCTGTAAGCAAATTAAATAACGACTTGAACTGTGTTGTTAAATTTGACAGTAGTTCATATGTTTTTCAGGACTTGGCCACGGGAACGATGATTGGCAGTGTTAAGAACGAATCAAGACTTTATCTTCTACTAGTCACAATCTCACTTCCAAATAGACAACTTCAAGTGCAGTATGTGCTAACTCAGTATCTGTAGAATGTTCTAATGTTGACCAATCTATTATGTTATGCCATTATAGATTAGGACATCCAAACTTCATGTACTTAAAATAATTATTTCTTACTTTATTCAGAAATGAAAATCCAAATTCATTTCAATGTAAAATATATCAATTCTCTAAACACACCCGTAATTCATATCCCAGTATTGCTTACAAATTCTCAAAACCCTTTGCATTAATTCATAATGATGTCTGGGAACTGGCATGGGTTAAAAATGTTACTAGTATAAAATGATTTGTCTCCTTTATTGATGATCACAATAGAGTAACCTGTATTTATCTTATGAGAGAAAAATTTAAAATTGATCAAATTTTTCACAAATTCAACACTATGGTTCAAATGCAATTCCAGACAAAAATATAAGTGTTGAAAACTGACAATACATGTGAATATTTTGCATCCAATTCAGAAAAATTCCTTACTAAATAAGGCATTGTCCATCAAAATTCTTGTCCTTACACCCCCCAACAGAATAGTGTAGCCGAAAGAAAAAATAAGCACATATTAGAAGTATCCCGCTCACTTATGTTTACCACAAATGTCCCTAAATTCCTTTGGGAAGAGACTATCTTCACTGCTACATATCTGATCAACTGGATGTCATCCCGTATACTTCAATTCAAAACACCTTATGACTCCCTCATTCAAACCTTCCCAACCTCACACATCCTTCACACAATTCCGTTTAAAGTCTTTGACTGCTCTGCCTATGTTCACATTCACAATTACCTTAGAGGGAAACTTGATTCTAGAGCCCTCAAATGTGTCTTTGTCGGGTATTCTATTTATCAAAAAGGTTACAAATGCTTTTATTCAGTAACCCACCGGTTCTATAACAACACTATGGATGTCACTTTTTTTGAAAACCAACTCTTTTATCCCACTCTTGATATTCAGGGGGAGATATCTGGAACTCAAAAATATCAATTGTGGGATGTGAACATATCTCTACTACATACTCCATTGACAACTCCAAAAAAAGAACTTGTCCATAAAACCACCAAAGAACCTAAACTTACCACAGAGACTGATAGCACATTACCTGCAGTTACCAAGTTACGTGTCTATACTAGGAGGAACAAAACTCAAGGTAAAGATAAAATACCTGAGCCAACTATACACTGTCATGATTCAACTCCTGGACCAAGCACCCAGAATAACACAGGTAATAAGATCTCTAACTCAACTAATGATATTGATTTACCTATTGCTTTACGAAAGGTGTTCATTCTTGTACTATCATCCCATACAGATTATGTCTCTTATGGCAAGCTGCCTTCAAAGTCCATGCACTGTGAGTAAGTTTGACAGTACTCTTCCTGAACCAAGAACAATTCATGAAGCTCTCAAGATTCCTGTATGAAATGCTGCTATCCGATAAGAAATTTCAGCCCTTGAGAAAAATATGACATAGGAGTTATCTGATCTACCTCCAAGAAAGGCTCCTGTAGGATGCAAATAGCTTTTCATCACTAAGTACAATCCTGATGGTAGTGTAAGCCGCTACAAAGCATGATTTTTCGCTAAAGGATTTACCCAATCATATGGAATCGACTATCAAGAGATATTTGCTCCTATTGCAAGCACAACACAATTCGGGTATTATTCTCTTTGGCATCTTATCTTGATTGACCTCTCTACCAACTTGATGTGAAAAATACTTTCCTTAATGGTGATCCAGAGGAAGAAGTGTATATGGAAGTCCCACTTGGACTCGAAATGAATCCCCAAAAGGTGTACAAACTAAAAAAGGCATTGTATGGGCTCAAACAGTCTCCAAGAGTATGGTTTGATAGATTCACCAGGGCAATCAAACATATGGGATATGAACAATGTCAGTCCAATTACACTCTGTTTGTCAAGTATTGTACCATAGGAAAGAGAGCTATACTAATTGTCTATGTGGATGCTATTATCCTAACAGCTGATCATAGTGAAGAAATTCAGAAATTGAAAGACTTTCTAGTTAGAGAATTTGAAATCAAAGAATTTGTGATACTCAAGTATTTTCTTCAAATGGAAGTTGCCAGATCCAAGAAAGGAATTTCTATATCTCAGCGAAAGTACATCTTAGATCTCCTGAAAGAGACAAGTATGCTTGGTTGTAAACCTGTAGAGACTCCTATGAAAACAAATGTCAAACTTAATCCAAAAAGTGACAGTAAATCTGTTGATAAAGAGAGGTATCAAAGATTTATAGGCAAACTTATCTATCTGCCTCACACAAGACTTGACATCAACTTCGCTGTTAGCAGTGTGAGTCATTTCATATCTCAACATACTGAAAAACACATGAGTGTTGTCTATCGTATTCTGAGGTATCTAAAGATAACACCTGCACAGGGATTATTCTTTCAAAAAACTATGGTCAAAGATATTGAGATCTACACTGATACCGATTGCACTGAATCTGTAACAGATAGGAGATCCACATCTGTTTATTGCTCTTATGTTTGAGATAATTTAGTCACTTGGCGCAGCAAAAAACAATCTGTTGTATCAAGGAGCAACCCTGAATCTGAATTACGATCACTTGCACATGACATATGTGAAAGAGTATGGTTTACAAAGATCCTATTTGAACTAAGATTTTCTGCTCCCACTGCAATGAAGATCTGGTGTGACAATCAATTAACTATTAGCATGACTAAGAATCCTGTACAACATGACAGAACTAAACATGTTGAGATTGATCGTCACTTTATTAAAAAGAAAATTGAAAGTCAGAATATATCACTCTTATACATCTCGACAAATCAAAAAACTGCAGATATACTCACCAAAACTCTACCAAAAAGTGAGTTCAATAATTTTGTATCCAATTTAAGGTTACTTAACATTTACGAAATCTAAATTGAGGGGGAGTGTAGAATGTACATATGTAGGAATGTATATATACATGTATACTTACACTAGGGATAACTTAGTCTTTTCTCAAATTGTTAGGACAACTGATATTGTTAGGATAGTTGTGTATTCTTTCCACTAATTTTTTAGCCTTTCATTAACACTTTTTTTACCGTTTTTGTCTTGGCCGAAGGCCTATATAATGGCACATTTGTGCCCATGAAATTAAAAAGAAAAATCAGAAGAATTCTCCTCTTTTCACAGAAACTTTTTCCTTTATTCTCTTCATTTATAAATCGCATGATACCAATAAAATATAAAACTACGAACATAGGAAGTCCTAGAACTAATTGATGGTAATAAGTTCATGAAGCACTCAGAACCATCATGTGAAATTTCAGTTATTCCTACCGGTTTGATTAACCTATCAAACAACTCTTTTTTGTGCAAGACAGAACCAGAAAAAAAGGAGACCAAGACGAACTCAAAAGTAAAATCTCAGTTCTACCTGATTTAAAGGCAACCAACACAATTTCTAAACTGGCACCTCCAGCAACGAACAGCTAACGCTAGTTCATGAACTATCTAGAGGAATGGTCAGAAGGAATATCAACCTTGCAAAAGAATGACAAAGATTCAGTTTGCGGCGAGATATTCCACCTAGATATACACACAAATAAAATCATATTCACTGTTTTCTTGGTGGAATCTGAGATGGATTCATAATCTTCAATCCTACGCACAAGCAAATCCATTTATATGAATCGCATTGCTATAAATTCTTTAAGAAAGGTAAGGAATTTCAGACAAGACCCAACTTCAACCAAACTCTCCATCGTACTCCACCTTAGGGCTAATATAATCTTCGGACAAAAACTATATGAGAGTTGATAAGAATTAGGCTTTGCAACTCAAAATTGGGAACAAGCATTTATAGCATCTCAAAAGTATGGTCTCTTATAATATTCCTTGTAAACATGGAACGTAAAACATTTTCAGAAAAATACAAAATCATGTGGGGATTGGGGGAAACCTAAAATTTGCTGGGACACAAAAGAATTGTCAATGTCAGAGAAGCTGCT